ACGAAGGCAAGACGAAATAATAGAGTTGAGTCTTTTGCGATGTGTAGAGGAGGCGGAGACAAACAGATAGGAACCGTAATCAGTTTTCGATCGAATAACACCACTAAAAATAAGGAGAAGACAAGTGGGATGAGAACCCCACTGAGAGTCAGTAGTGGCTCGAAGAAAGTTTTGACCTACGGGAAATTAAACCTTTAAGGTATTGGAAATGGGAAACCCATCTCAATTTAGAATCGAGTTTTAGGCCTAGACAAGTGACTGATGGGGAAGGCTAAATAGTTTGATTGTCAAGAAGGATGAATTAAGATGTTTTGCATTGTTTACGTGTAAAAATTCAGGAGCCATTGTGAAGAAAGATAAAGTGAAAGCAACGGAAAGATAACTTAAAGCATCATTTAATAAATCCACAGATTTATCTAAAGATTATTTATTGAAACAGAATAAAACTATATCGTTGATATATGTATTATAAAAGACGATTGTTGGGAGAGGCTAAATAATAGCATATAGATAATAAATAAAAATTAAAACGTATAGGGATAAGACAACTGTCTTGAGGTATTTTAACATTTTCTTGATTGTATTAAGAGGTAATATTTAATTTAGCTCAACATGAATTAATCTTACCCGATATTATGATTTAATCATTAATGGCATATTTGGTCATACAGTTTGGAATAAGTTAGATATTGTCTCTTAAACAGTTTAGGGCAGTGTTTAAATTGTTTTAAAATAATAAACTGTAATTTGAGTAAAGAGGTACTTAGTGTTCGACAAGGAAATCTCAAACAAGAGTTCTGTAAAAAAATAACTATTTCGTAAATTTGTTGTACTCTTGATTATGTTTAATGAAATCATGTCTTATGAGTTATTATATTTGTATAAATATTGTTATTGTATTATATAGCATACACTAAATTATAAATACTTGGTTAATATTTATAAGACTTCTATAAACTATGAATATTATTTTATTTTCACTATGTATACATTATAAAAAAACATAATTATTGACCGAAACTTAAGGTGTTGAATTTTATGCATATCTACCTGGAATTTTATATTTGTCATTCGACTGTTTCATTTTAATAAAATTTGTTTTCTTTTAATTACCCACCATGGCACTATGCATCGTAGGTACTTGTGTGTTACGCGACTACCATATGAGTGATGAACTATAAATAATATTTTCTATAGCTATACGTAGAAATGGAAAAAAACACATAAAATCAAATTTATGTAACTGAATCGGTCTTTTCAAAATACCTATGTTTCGTAATCACGTATCGTTTGTTAATTTAAAAAAGTTTCAATACAGATTTTTGAGAAAATCGTATATGCTAATTCAAATATTTTTAAAAAAAATTATAGAGTGCTATAGCTTGGAGTTTAAAAATAATTATACATTTATTGTGTTTTTTTTCTCAATTTTGAGGAGGAAGGGGTAGTAGACTCTTTTAGTTTTTGGACCAATATGGGACGTTTGAGGTATGATGGATTTTTCGTCTTTAGACAGCACGAATAAATGCCGTTTAGGAATATCTAGGAATTATATTTAATACATTTTGTATATAGCGCATACACGTTCATTCATACAGCAGATGATTTGAGGCAATTATTAGAGAGAGACCAGCGTAAGTTTTTGTGCTTTGCTCGTTACCTACTTAAAATTCCTTGTCCGCCTGTAGCTAATATACTTGGCCTACCATCCTTAGCCGAGCGGAGACGCACTCTTTGTATTAGGTTTATTGATGGTAAAATTGAATCGTCTGCACTTGTTTCACTACTCTGTTTCAAAGTGCCTCAGCGTTCATCTCGGACTACTGCTCATTTTTACGTCCCACGTGCCACCACTAATTATTTAGCAAATAAACCATTACGACGGCCAATGTCAAACATCAAATTATCTGACTTGTATATTATACTTAAAAGATGCTTTTGCATAGAGCACTAACATGAACTTTAAAAAGCATTAACTTTTTAAGTTATAACTATTTCTGGTGACCTGTAACCTCCCCGTTCCCACTATGCCCCGAACCAACTGTACTGGCTTCATTGCGTATAGATTTAGCTGGTCAGTTAGATATTGTACCATAATATAACATAGTGTTGAAAACAATGTGAATAATTGCATAAAATGTATAATCTACTCTCAACATACTGCTCTGGCTACTAATTGTGTTTAAATAAAATATCGAAATAACCGAAAACTAGATGAAAAATATAAATTTTCACCATTGTAAATGTCTTGTATATGAAGTATCACCTTAACAGCAAATGTACATCGTGTGTACAATCAAACGACAAAGGTTTATAAAATTGTGTCACTCACAATATTTATCGTAAGTCAATAAAACCATAAAAGACACGACAAATGTACTTATTTTACTGTTAATCCGTTATTTTGACTTCAGCGCCAACAGTCGTTCTATTCCACACGTACTTATTGAATTTCAACCAACTTAAAAATTATTATGCATTTTAAGACTGCTGTTATTCTCTGTGCCGTGTATTTCATTGTATCAGTATGGGTAATATACTTATTTCTTTAAATTGAATATAGTTATATATTATATACTTATGCAAGGTGACATAATACAGCTCTGTATAATAAGTACATAAGCGTTAAAACTTTATGATCTAACGGGCAACATATATATATATATATACATTTTGGATTAAATATTTAATTTAACAAAAATTTGCAAAAAATCTTGACTGATCGATAACCGGTCTTAAACAATTACTATTTAAGTGTTTAAAATTTAGGACGGTACGAAGGATGGATTGGATTGTTAGTTTTATCTGTGAGAGTTATTCAACCAGAGCAAAATAATCTTATTTTAATAAGTTAATTAAATATATACGTTCCCGTTTAAGTGACAAAAGTTGTTCCGCTTTGGATAATATAATAAAAGCTAAATTTTTTTTATTTCATATATATTTGTAAATATAAAAATGATTTAAAAATATACCCGGATGGCCCACAAAGATTTGACAAATGAAATAACTTTTGTTCTAGAGACTATTTTTGAGATTTTTTTTTTATAATTTTTACTCATTTGCGCTATAAGCACCGTGGTCTTTATTGCACTTGCAAAATTTGTATTTTTATTCATTTGAAAGTGAGGATTACTGGTGACGGGAGATGGAGTGCGGTAGGTAAATAAAAATTAATCTACGCGGTTTACTCTACTGCACTCCCCCTCCCATCACCAGTCATCCTCACTTTCAAATGAATATAACATTTGAAGAGATGAATAAAAATACAAATTTTTTCACCAATTCTTTTTAAAAAATTATTTTGAATAAAATGGCTATGTTGAAAAAAAATAAAAAAAACTATTAAATAAAGTAAAACTGGTAAGTGCAATAAAAACTACGGTGCTTATAGCGCACATGAATATAAATTATTTAAAAAATAAAAATCTCAAAAATATTCACTAGAACAAAAGTTATTTCATTTGTCAAATCTTTGTGGGCCAATCTGTATAATATATAGATTATTGTAATATAATATTTCCCAGAAAATGAGTGACTTACGGTAAAGGGATCATTCGGTACTCAGTTTTGAGCTGTAAGTCATTGCACTTTATTTCAGAGCACGGGACTAAATATGGACCAAATACAAAAATGTATTCAGATGTATGATTATCCCAATCCTGACACTCGGAGAATCCCAGAAGTTATGAAAGACGATTTTGGAGTTAAAACACCAGAAAGATATTATAAACGCCACTCAAGTAACATATTATTTAAATAGCGATTTATTAGTTACATCTATTGACAATTAACGTTGTGTTATTGCTTTAATATACCAATAGATTATATTCATAATTTGTATTCGTTTTACTTAACCAATCAAGTTCTTATTACTAACATTATATTAAATTGTAATGTACTTTTTAAACCATTATTTCGTTTGTTAGTTAATAATGAAATAAAGTGTAGAACATAAAGTCACTTTTTAAAAGTATAATTAAGTCAAGTTAGAAATTAAACATATTTAGTACTCAATTAAGTAACTACTGAATTGGTCTAAATAATTACATTTGTGAAGTATAAATCATTGAATTGAATGTATATAACTTAAACTTGTCTAGCTTTGTTGAATCCTGTTATGTTTAATTTTCAAAACTGATTGCATACTATTTATTTTATTTAGAATACGATTATTTAACTTTTAAGAGCGCATTTTTGGCGTTAGCGTATGAAGATAAAACATCTGACAGCATCGGGGTATTTGATTTAAAATAACTATTTTTTATTACTAATTTAACCTAAAACATATCAAATATTAACAAATATCACAATGTTGTAAAAAAATTATTGCAAAATATTCGTGTATGTTTTTAACAATGTACTTAGGTTCCAATGCTGACGACTTTTGAAGTAGAGCTTTACCTCAATAAGTTCATTGAACACCTTGAACGTTATGGGCAATTTAGATGCCTTGTTAATGAACAACTATCACCTTTATTTGGAGAATTACACCTTACAGAAGATGAAAAGGCAAAGGTCGAAAGTTTAACTGAAGCAAGAAAAGGTTACATTAGATTTAAGGTGAGGAAGCGGTTTACTTCAAGTTCACAGTCTTAATTTTATTTTTTTAGGTATAATTCACTCAGCGGCATTCTTGTCAATCATGTTAGAAATTCTACCGGAAGTAAGTAAATATTTGTGCAAGGAAAAATAGATTCTCATGAGACATTAAATAGAAACTGTATATAAATTGGAATACTCGAATAGGACTTTTAAAATAAGAATTTTCAACAAAAAAACCATAATCCTACTATTTGTAAATTTTGAAAATTGGCCATATAAATTTTACTGAATACAAAAATGTATGCAAAAAAGTGGTTTCAAAAGCAAAATTTAAAGATTCAATACAACATTTTAGTTAAGAAATCGTTAAAAATTAAACAAATGCTTAAAATGTAAAAATACTTCGACATTTGTGTACAATTAGCTCATATTTGTTATTTTTGGTTTTATTATAGGGCAATGGTCTAAACGAAGCACAAATCGAGGAGTTCATTGAATTGTATAGATATCAAGATACTGTTACCCGTTGCATCGAACCTTTGAAAATTCAAAACATCTTGAACACGATTCATATGGCTATTGAGCCGCTTGAAGAGTCAATGTTATTTAAATCTAACCGTAAGACAAAAATATAAATATATTCACATTAAACAGGTACATTCTAATTGTGTATATAATATATAATTAAAACTTAAACAGGACCCTTTGCTAAAGTGTTGATGGAGTTGGTTATCATTACGGCAGAACGTTTTAGGACAGATAACAAAAAAGTAATATATAACTAACTTTTTATCAATTAAAAATTCCTTTGCTGTCATGCATTACTCTCCTATAATTTATTAATTCATTACGCTGTATTTAATCTTTCTTTGGCAATTTTCAGGATGAGATAGTGTTAAGTACAAAAGAGATCAGATCATTGTTATATGAATTCACAGAACGTGACAGGAACCGAGACGGTGTACTATTTGGTAACGAAGCAAGCAAGTTTGTGAGAGAATTTATCGCTAAAAATCCACAAATTCCCACATTAAATTTTAATTGTAATTTCACAAGTTTGTACATTAACAAGTTAATTATGATTGTTGGGCCTCACTTAAACATTTGTTACTTTTGCTTTTTAGATAATGAAATACACGTTGCGAAGTTCTTATTGTTCCACATACATGCGAAAAAAGTTGAAGAACCATAAAAATAAATATTTGAAATATAAGAATGTTTAAATTTTGTTAATTGAGTATAATACCTAAAATACTTTAAATTTATTTATTATTTATAGTGTTTATAATATTGCACTTTAATTTTATAATATTCAAACACGTGGAATGTAATTCCACTTCACGGAATATGTAATAATAAGTAATATAATTATTAATCGATTCAGTACTCAAATGTAATTGTTTTTAATTACAAAAATAACCTATTATAATTTGTGTAGCATTGTTTTTTTCGCAGTCAATATTTGAAAAAAAAAATACAAAATTAATTTTTTCCATGCCATGTAATCTAAAGCCTGGGACACACCAAGACAATAGAGACAAACATTACTGTGTTGCTTCCCATTTGTTTCTATATTTTGATAAAAAGCGAAATATGTGGTGACTAATGAATGTTGCCTTAAGACTAGGCTTAAAACGGCGCCCTTTTATCTGAGTTTTTCTGGCACTAGTAAAAATACATTTTTAAATTAATATTACTGGAGCTAGTTAGCTACTTTAAAATTTGAAAAAAATATTGTTTAGGAATATTTTGAAAAAGAACACTTAAATTACAATTGTTCAGTGAAAGTTACATTTCGATATCATAATTAGTCATTAAGTAACGTGGCCACATCGCTAAAGTCCAAAACAATTTTTGATATTATTTTTTTCGATGTTATGGAAATATCTGCATAGGATATATAAGTTTCAGGTATTTAGAAAATCAACTAGCACGCACATCAGATAAATTGGCATGGAATGACCCATGCCTATTTGATGCGTTAATATGGGTTTAAGGTGTCTCTATAGTTGCATGTTTTTAGTTGAAAACAACTCGTTCTCACTATAAAACTGTTATAATCTCTATTACTATCTCTAGTAATATACTATTATATCACATACGAGATCGCTAAGCATCTCCCCCAAAAAAACAGTTAATGTTCTCACATATATAATTAATTCCATACTTCGCCTCTCATACTTTCCGCTGCAGTGGAAACTCTCTGTAATAATAGTTGTACTCAAACCTGGTAAGCCACCGGAGCACCCCTCATCCTATAGACCTATCAGTCTTATGCCTTTCTTTTCTAAAGTATTTGAAAAAATACTCCTAAAAATAATTAAACCGATCATAGCTAAGATAAACATTATTCCAAACACGCAGTTTGGTTTTCGTAGCAGACATTCTACAATCCAACAAATAAATCGTTTAACAGATACAGTCGCCTCATCACTTGAAAATAAACAATATTGCACTGCTGTTTTTTTTAACGTTGCACAAGCTTTTGACTGAGTATGGCACGATGGTCTTCTTTTAAACTAAAACAAATTCTACCTCTATACTACTACTAATTACTCTTTCAATCTTATCTTGATGAACGACAATTTACAGTACGTTACCGCACAACTCTTTCAACCATATCTCAAATAAAAGCAGGGGTACATCAAGGTGCTATTTCTAATCCTCTTCTCTACAAAATATTTACATCCGATCAACCTACCCATCTAAACACAGCTGTAGCAGAATTTGCCGACGATAAAGCAATCCTTTCTGTTCATAATGACCCCTAAATTGATTCTCATTACTTGCAATCTCACCTCAATAGTCTTCAAACCTGGTACAATGATTGGAAAATAAAAATTAATGAAACTAAATCCTGCCATATTACATTCACTCTCAAACAAGGTATCTGCCCTCACGTTGCTCTAAACAATGTCCAAATAATAATAATAATAATAATAATAATAATAATAATAATAATAATAATAATAATAATATATATTTAACGCCCCGAAGGCAAGAGTGTAACATTCAAGTAACTAGATCACAGATTAATAATTATAAATTATAAACAGTATCAATAAGGAAAACATATTTATAACAACGATAACAAACAAAATATATAAATATGACAAAAATTGGACGATTAAGTATAAATGAGCCTAAATCAGTTGTGGGTAAGAGCCAATTTTAATTCAAGAAAGGAGTCATGAAAGACATCAAAAGAGGGAGGTAAGTTATTAAAGGTAATACAAATGCGGTTAATAGGAGTGAAAAAACTATAATTTTGGCGGTGGAAACTAACATGACAAGTTGGACGTAGGCGAGAGTTGTAGGAAGGAATATGGAATAACAATTTACTTAGGAGTTCAGGACTATCGATAACATTATTAAGCAACTTGTGTATAAAAATTAAATCATTTAACTTACGTCTATATGCGAGCATATCGAGATTTAACAAATGCAGAACGGAATTTCTATGTTCAGTTTGCATATTAAATTTAAAGCTTACTGTTCGCAAAAAACAGTCTTGGACACGTTCTAAGTCATTAGTAAGTCCGCTTTGGACTGGATTCCACAATATGGAGGCATATTCTAAAATTGTACGAACTAAACAAATATACACGGTTCTAATGCACATTAAATTTGAAAAATTATAACAATTTCTCCTAATAAAACCTAATGTTTTTAATGCTTTTAGTTTTATATTTTGGATATGCTGATGAAATAATAAATCATAAGAAAAATAAACACCAAGGTCTTTCAGCTGTTTAACATTTTGTAAAACTCGATTATTAATTAAGTATTGAACTGAAGTAGGGTTACGGCAACGGGAAAATGATATTTTCATACATTTTTCCGCATTTATTGAAAGACCATTGTTCAAACACCAGTTTTCAAATTTATTTAAGTCGTCTTGGAGTTTAGAACAGTCAGCCTCAGATGTAATTTCCATGTACATTTTTAGGTCATCCGCAAACATTAGACATTTACAATGATTAAAAATATTCGGGATTTCATTAACAAACAATAAGAATAAAATGGGTGATAAATGACCCCCTTGAGGTACGCCTGAGCTAACATTAATTACGTAGGATACCTTTGAAGATAATTTTACTTGCTGAGTTCGATCTGTTAAATATGATTTTAACCAGGATAAATAAGGGTCCCTGATACCTAAAACACTCAAATAAATACCCTCATCAAATACTATCAAATACCTTGGGGTACACTTTGATAAAAAACTAAACTGGGCACATCACATACACTCCACTAAAATTAAACTAAACTTACGTCTTAACATTCTGAGAAGATTTCTTCATTCTAAATCGAAGTTGCCCCTTCACACAAAACTAACCATTTATAAACTCTTACTTAAGCCGCTATGGACATATGGATTCCAAATCTGGGATCAGCTAAGAATTTGAACCTTTACAAAATACAAGTCTCACAAAATAAAATACTCCGTCTCATCACTAATTCACCACCTTATATATCAAACCATACTCTACACTGTGATTTACAAATAAAAACAATAACACAAGTTGCCAAAGACTACTACAGATGTTGCCACAATTCTCTTCAAAATCACCTAAACCCCCTTGTAAATAATCTCACATTACCCTCAATGGTCAACAACCCAACAAAAAGACTTAAAATGAAGTGACGCAGAGACCTTCTCACTAACAATTAGTTAAAAACGAAGTTAATAAGAGTGCCGTCAGTGGACGGCTTCTCTTTTAATGCTTTCAATGTGTATAATTTACCTGTGGATCATATATACCTATTGTACTAAATTTGTATTGATCGTATATGTAAAATAAAGGAGAAAAAAAACTATTTACATAAAGTGAAATAATTATCTATACAATGCCCCTGTCAAGTATAAGAAATGTTCCCTAACCTACGCCCGTTTGTGTGTGTTTTATTATGTCTATCCGTGAGGAACTTTCCAGAACATTACATTTAATGAGTAGCTCAAATACACTAGACTAGACAAGACGATTAGGAAATTACAACAAAGATAATGTTATGTGAAAATTGCTCTAAAACTACTAAAGAAATTGTATTTTGAGTAGATGCGATTTTGATTCGGCGTTTTTTATCATTGTTTAAACTCTAGTGCTTAATTTTAAGGCACAAGAAGGACCCAGAGCGGAGCGGTGCTGCTTCAACTGAAGGGCACCTGCGATCAGGCCGATGGAGTGGCCGAAGAGATAAGGAAGGCTATTGGCCAGTCCATCAGGGTCGGCAGGCCTAACAAATTAGCGAGCGTCCTCGTGCTCGATGTCGAGGAGTGGGTCGGAGCAGACGACATCAAAGAGGCCATCAGAAGCATCGTTAAGGACGGCCCAGCGGCAGCCCACTGGAACGACGTGCGCCTTCCGGTGGTTTCGAGGGGCAAAGATGGGACCAAAGGAGTAGCCCGCTTATTGGCCCCGCTAAAGGTAGCCGCACAATTGGTCGAAGCCAAGAAAATAAGTGTCAAATGGACAACTTGTCGCGTCAGGGTCATGGAGGACAAAGGTCCACGATGCTTCAGATGTTTGGAGCGGGGCCACACGTCCACCCGCTGCAACGGGCCAGACCGGTCGGGACGGTGCTTCCGGTGCCATAAGGAGGGGCACGCAGCGAAGGACTGCAAAGAAAAAACCGAAGTCAATGCTACCACTAACCCACCGCAAGAGAAGAGAAAGAGGAAGAGGAGGAACAGGACCATAACCAACACCTCCAGGCGGCCAGAAGGTGCAAGCAAGGAAAAACCATCGATCAAGGAGAAACCTGAAGGCGACCGAACAACGCGACGTTGTTTCAGGTGCCTGGGAGTTGGACATCTAATGAAAGGTTGCACTGGCCCAGATAGGAAGGGTGGTTGCTTTAGATGCGGGTCGAAAGACCACAAGATCATCGAATGCAAGGCGTCCAGGGAGGACCGCAAGTCGTTCGACGAGCTAACGAAACAACCACCCCAGCATAAAAAGAAGATCTCGGTGGTTATAGAGGATATCGACGCCGTGGATGAGGTGTCCTTTATGGAGATGGACCCAATGCAGGGTCCTTCTACCGGCCAGCCTGGTGTATGAGGCTCCTCCAAACGAACCTCAACCATTGTAGGCTGGCCCAGGACACCCTGGCCCAGACGATCGCTGAGTAAGCGATCGACGTGGTCATAGCCTCGGACCCGTACAGGCAGGCACACGGAGGCGGTGG